TCACCTGTTACCCTGTGTCTTTATCACTGTAACCCTGTGTCTTTATCACTGTTACTCTGTGTCTTTATCCCTGTAACCCTGTGTCTTTATCACTGTAACCCTGTGTCTTTATCACTGTGACCCTGTGTCTTTATCACTGTAACCCTGTGTCTTTATCACTGTGACCCTGTGTCTTTATCACTGTTACCCTGTGTCTTTATCACTGTAACCCTGTGTCTTTATCACTGTAACCCTGTGTCTTTATCACTGTTACCCAGGGTCTTCATCACCTGTGAGGAAACCTGTAACCATCTGAACGTGTCTGTGAGTTCTCAGCCTCTAAAACAAAAACACTCATGGACAAATCCTAAATCTTTATTTGTTGGATGAAGCAAACGTAGACATTATAAAGAATTTWTCACTCTTTTACTCACTGTTCTGTGCAGGGGTGGGGGGTGCCTAAAGCTGAGAGACAGGGGACACCTGGACAGGTCTCCAGTCCATCACAGGGATGCAGAGACACACAGTTACCAGTCAACTTGACATGCATGTTGCCAATCTCTGAGAGAAACCTGGACTACCTGGAGAAAACCCACATGTGCATGGAGGGAACATGTCACCTCCCCACACAAAGGCTGCTGTGAGGTGACAGCTCTAATCAACTTTTTTTTCCAGAACGTAACAGTGAATGTAGTTCACACACAGAAATGTTTTTCCATCCYCCGTTATTTCCTTATTTGTTCAAACTTAGAACATTTTACAACCTAATTTCCTCATTTTTAAGAGTGTGTAGGAACCCTACAGTCCACTTTATGACCTTTTATTAAAGGAAAAAGTTCAGAAGATGTGTATGATGACATCATAGAACATAAGATCCATAAACAGGACATTTAATGGTTCCACATTAAGAACATGACGGGAGTCCCGATCAGAACCAGTGGTCGGTCTACAGGCCACACTGAGACTGCTGCCTGTGCCTGCGGACACTACACATCTGGCTAAAGGACTGTCCACAGCATGAGCAGCTGTAGGGTTTCTCCTGGGTGTGCACCGTGCGGTGTCTCTTCAGGTGGCTTGACGAGATGAAACCTTTCCCACACAGCGTGCAGCGGTAACGTCTCTCTCCGGTGTGGATGAGCAGGTGGACCCTCAGGTTGTTGGGCTGGGCGAAGCCTTTCCCACAGTGGCAGCAGGTGTAGGGTTTCTCCTCTGCATGAACCTGTTGGTGCAGCTTCAGGGTGGCTGCCCCAGAGAACACCTGCTTACAGACTGCACACACCACAGGCTTTGCAGCAAGAGCAGCACCACTCCTAGACGGCGGCTGGCTGGATGTGCAGGCAGACACAGATGTGGAGACGGCAGCTGGAGGAGAAGGTGGCGAGGCTACGAGGGCAGCGTTAACACAAGTCATGTCGAAGGACGGGGAGAAAGCAGCCATTTTGTTAGTTCCACCTGTGAAAAGCATGGTGGCAGGACTGTCCCCCTCTCCCTGTGCAACAAGAGAGGACAAAGGCTGCTCAGTGTTTGTGCTCGCCACACCCAACTGTGCAACTGCATATGCTGCGCCAAGATGGCCGGCTCGCTCCTGCATCCAGGCCAGATCCAGGCTCACAACGTTGAGGTGGTCAGAACTGGGCTCATCCTCTTCCACAGGGACTGACAGATGAGAAGAGTAAAGTTCATCATCTGTGGTGTCGTCCGGTTGGACCTTCGGCTTTAGAAGACACTCTGTTTGGGTTTCAGGAGAGTCTTGAACCCCGTTGTTCACCTTCAGGCTCCTCCACACAGGTTTCATTACGCTGCTGCCGGTCAGGTGCATCTTCACTTCACTGGGAGAGGAGGCCAGGCTGGTCACACCCGTGTCAAAAACTGTATCAGTGGGAGGAGCCTCCTGACCGGGAGTCTGGGCTAAAGAAGGAAAGACGAGCACAAAGATGGAGGTGAGATTTCAAAATAAAAACTTTTACTAAAGATAAAGTTACTGTCTGACTGTCCAAAAATAATCTAGAGGAAAACTTTACATCCTTACAGAAATCAACCATTTCTAAACAAATAAGATGTTTGTTTTTGTTGATTTTTGGGAAATTGAAGGTTTAGTATTTGAATTTGAACATAACTTCAGAATTAGTTTGACAACATGACAATAGTTTCAACATCAAACCAGAGATGGATATATATATATCAGGGCCTGAAATTCGCTGCGGGATTGCGGGTATTGCGCATTATTTGATTGATTCCCGCAAATTTAGTTTTTATAATGCGGGAAATTCCCGCATACAATATTAGAGTAAAGTTTACATGGACGTTTACATCGGACKTATGACAAAGACGGACACTTCCGCTACAAACCTGGCGCGCACGGACGCGCGCTTTTTTCTTCTTCTTCACTTCTTGGTTGGGTAACAATACAGCGTGGTTGTTGGATTCAGTGATTCGGGATTCGGGACGGAAACCTAAACATGGATCGCTGGCTAAAACGTAATTCTAATATTACATCAACTGAAGAGGAGCCTGCTCCCAAAAAAACATCACAAGTTAGAACCGAAGCTGGAAGCGTCGCTGATACCACTGATGTCGCCGGGACTGTCCCAAAACCTCCGGATCCTCCAGGTAACGTTAGTGGCGAGAATGTTACTAAACAGCCGAAAGATAAGTTTCAAACTAACTGGCTCAGATTATATCCCTGGCTTGAATATAACAAAGGTGAAATGAGNTTTTTTTACCGACCTCAAAAAAAGTTATCGTGCGATTAATTGATTTATTGACTATCGCGACAGACCTACTCTCTTAGACGTTTGGCTAGCTCTCTAGGTGCTAATTAAAGTACTAATAAGAGTCAAACAAATGTTTCCACTGCTGGATGAACGCAGACCTGGCAGAAGCGGACGTGTGAAAAGGGCAGCGCTTGTTGCAGCAGTCGTGCTTTGGCCTCCCTCTTATCTCCATGGACGATAAGAACGGGATGGTCCCTATAAAAAATAAACACAACAGATGTTTAAAATGGACACCTGTGTACACATCTTCTCATTGTGTGATCAATAAAAGAAAATCTGGACTCACCTGAACTCTGGTGGGTACTGCTTTACCATCCAAGGGATATCGAAGCAGTAGTTAAACTAAAAAAAAAGAGAGTGGAGCGACATTAAGAGTGATGTAAGTCGCAGCCATGTTTGTTTTCTAATGCAATACAAGACAATTTCAAAAGATACATCACACTCATCCTGAAAGTGCCTGTGACATGTATATCCATGAAATACAAAAAGTAAAAAATACATATATTTATATTTAAGAAACTTGGCATAATGCACATGATTTTACCCGTTACGTCACATAATCGGCATATTTTCTTTTGAATTTGGATCAGCTGAAGTGAAACAGGAAGTGACATTAAAGGGGAGATCTTTGAGAAAGAAAACTTCCTGGTTTGTATTTATTGAAATAATATTATTTGAACTATGACTCCTTCTCATCTCTCTATGACAGCGATTAAAATAATATAAAGAAACATCATATTCTCCTCTACAGTCTGGGTTGTTGGCCATAGTAGCAATGCTCTGTTTGCATCCAGACATTCCCCTTTGACATCACTTCCTGTTACTGAGCATGCAAATATCTCAACAACTGTTCATCTCAGCGGCATGAAATCGTTTTTACAGTATGTTATCTTTCCAAAAGTACATTTTTATTTATKACAAAAATTTGATGTCACAGGAACATGAAGGTTCTATGTTGCATTTCATTTACAGCAAACATGATATAACATGAGTTACTCACCTGAACAGACTCTTTCAGTGTGCCAAATAATGGAGAGAGAATATCTGAGTAGAGGAGAAAGGTTGGGATGATTAGACAAAGGTGTGTCTGACTGATGAGAAGAGATGATTGCTCTGCAATAAGGAGATTTGGCAGTCAACACCTCACCTCTGATGTGCAGAGCTCCAGTGTTGTACTTCCTGTTCAGTCCCGTGACTTTGTTGAGGTAGAACCTGTAGGTGTCTTTCAGAGGAGGAACGCTGGACTCGAAGAAGTCGTCGGGCTCATCCAGGTAGTACAGCCGGCCGTGAGGACTCGGAGGACGCTCAAGCTCCACTTTTGGCTTTTTTGTCTGCGGGTTGTCCGGATTGTTCTTTTTCACATCTCCATCATCTCCATCACTGTCTGAGAGAGCCCAGCCTGTGCCGTCTGACACTTCTTTCTTCTTCCTCTTCCTAGCCGGCGAGGGGCTGCTTTCAGGCTTGACTGGATTTAACTGGTTCCTCGCAGCCGACTGTCTGGCCTCAGAGCCGACGGCGAGAGAAACCTCTGGAGGTCTGGCGGGTTCTGCTTTTACCGGCACTGGAGAGGCAGACCTATAAGAGCTGCGAGTGGACTCAGCAGTCTGACGGGACTCGGATGCTGTGGTCCCAGAAGGAGGAAGATTCTCGTCATCGTCATCATCATCACTGCTGGAGATGGTCCACTTGCCATGCTGACTGTCCTGAGACATGCCTGGAAGAAAAAAAACAGAGAGCAGCAGGATGAGAGAGGGAATAAAGGAGTCACAGAAACCGATTATCTGATTTGTTTAAAAAAAGTGCAGTAAAGAAACAGAAGAAAAGCCAAATAGCAGCTGTAAAATCTTTGGACATCCAATTTTAGTAGTGTTAAGAAAGATACAGACAAAGAGATGAAGATTGTAAGGACTCGTGGAGTGAAAGAAAACCTTCATTCAGAATTATACAAAATGCACGGCAAATATTTACACAAGCTACAGACTGATGTGGAAATAAACCATGCATTAAAAATCATGCAGGGGGACAACAACGCGACAAGAGACGAGATGGGTAAAAAAAATTAATGCAGTAAGATATAACCTAAAACAAAATTTCGTTTTTGTGTCACAAATTTGCTTTACCTCAGGGAAAAAGAGAAGCAGAACAGACTGATTCTGGTGTAAAATCAGAAAGACGTTTTACAGATTTCACCGCCTTCAAACTTTGTTGGACCTGTGCAGGAAGACACGCATACAGAAAATGAGTCCGTGTGGAAACACTAACCTGATTTGAGAGTTCCGCTGAAACGGTGCTTTTCTGTGGCTGTGGTGTTTTCTATGTAGCTACAGAGCTATCCTAACTCAATGAAAAATAAATGCTGCAAATCAAATTGAACTGTTCTGGTACAAAAAACACTTAAAATGGTTTCTGTAGTATTTTTGTTAAAGTTGCTGAAATTGAAAACTGACATATTCCTGTCAAAACAGACTGTCACTAGTGAGTTTAAGCAACATTATTGTTATTATTATTATTAAAGTATATACATCGATGAGTTTGGTGGGCAGCACTAGTCTAAAAATTAGTTCCACTAGTCCTAAAACACTAATTCAAATATTTAGTCCCCTAATTCTAAAGCACTAACACACTTAAATTTTTAGCAAACGCTAATTCTAAAGCACTTAAAAATGACTTAGTCAACCCATGGAACATTCTTCAACARCAGACAACATGAGACACGTATTGCCATGTTGCTCTCCCAAGACTTACATTGAATATGAATATCCATCCATCCTCTATACACGCTTCTTCCTTTCAGGGTCACGGGTGTCACAATTAGCAAAAGCCCTAAAGCACTAATCAGGAAATTACAACCCCTGGCAAAAAGTATGGAATCACCCGTCTTGGATGAGCACTCATTCAGACATTTCATTCTATAAAACAAACTCAGATCAAAAACATGAAACAATAATAAGGTCATTCCAAAGTGCAACTTGTTGGCTTTCAGGAACACTCAAAGAAATGAAGAGAAAACATTGTGGATGTCAGTGAATGTTACTTTTATTGATCAAACACAGGGAAAAAAGTATGGAATCACTCAAATTGGAGGTAGAACATAAGAACACACCCAGTCAATTTCCTTTCCCTAAATGGACACCTGCCTCAGATTAGATCTGCTCGTTAGTCTGCAGTTAAAAACACCTGCAGTCATGACACCTTGGAGGGCTGCTGGACRAMGTGGAGTGDCAMGAACCATGGCTCCAACAAGAGAAATGTCTCTTGARACAAAAGAGAGGATTGTGARACTTCTTGAARAARGTAACTCTTCMYGCATGGTTGCTAAAGATGTGGGCTGTTCACAGTCAGCTGTTTCCAAGATATGGACCAGATACAAACAACATGGAATGGTTGTTAAAGCCAAGCGTACTGGTAGACCAAGAAAGACATCAAAGTGTCAAGACAAACAACTTAAGGCCGTTTCTCTTGAAAACAGAAAAAGTACAACTAAACAGATGAAGCATAAATGGGAGGAAGCTGGAGCCAATGTATGTGACCGAACTGTAAGAAATGGCCTAAAGGAAATGGGATTTCATTACAGGAAAAGAAAACCATCACTGACACCTAAACAAAAAAGAACAAGACTRCAATGGGCTAAGGAGAGGCAATCATGGACTGTGGATGACTGGATGAAAGTTATCTTTAGTGATGAGTCAAGAATCTGCATTGGACAAGGTAATGATGTTGGAACTTTTGTTTGGTTCTGTTCCAGTGAGATTTATGAAGAGGACTGCCTGAAGAAAACAACCACATTTCCACAGTCCTTCATGATATGGGGCTGCATGTCAGGCAAAGGCACTGGGGAGATGACTGTGATTAATTCTATCTAAACTTTGACATTTTGGACAGTTTTCTCATCCCTTCAATTGAACAGATGTTTGGAGGTGATGAAATAADTTTCCAARATGACAATGCATCGTGCCATWGGRCAAAAACAGTGAAGGCATTCCTTGGAGAAAGACACATTCAGTCGATGTCATGGCCTGCAAATAGTTCAGATCTCAACCCAATTGAAAACCTGTGGTGGAAATTGGGGGGGGAAAGGTCCACAAGAAGGCTCTGACCTGCAAAGCTGATCTGGCAACTGCTATCAAAGATAGTTAGCACACAATTGATGATGAATACTGTTTGTCACTCATCAAGTCCATTCCTCAGAGACTGCAAGCCATTATAAAAGCCAAAGGTGGTGCAACTAAATACTAGTGATGTATTTTGAATGGACTTTTATCTATTTTTCATGATTCCATACTTTTTTCCTCAGAATTGAGTGATTCCATTTTTTCCTCAGAATTGAGTGATTCCATATTTTTTCCCTGTGCTTGGTCAATAAAAGTATCATTCACTGACATCCACAATGTTTTCTCTTCATTTCTTTGAGTGTTCCTGAAAGCCAWYRAGTTGCACTTTGKAATGACCTTATTATTKTATCATGTTTTTGATCTGAGTTTGTTTTACAGAATGAAATGTCTGAATGAGTGCTCATCGAAGCCTGGTGATCCCACTCTTTTTGCCAGAGGTTGTAGTTCTCTTTTTGTCTGTGATTTCAGCCGTATTTTGCCTGAACCGTACACATCGGCGCCGTGGCTTAGTTGGTTAAAGCGCCTGTCTAGTAAACAGGAGATCCTGGGTTCGAATCCCAGCGGTGCCTTTTACAATTAATAATCTTATCTTATTGACGTTGTACGTCCGTGTTATGCGTGCAGAAAGTTAATGGAATAAGTAACCGTTTCAGAAATTGTTTAAAATGTAAATTTTTAATTATTATTTTTATTTTATATTATTTTTATTTTTATTTTTTTGCAACAAAGATTTGCAGCCAACAGCGTGGGGGCAGCACCAAAACAGCAATTGAAGGAAGCGGACCTTTGGTTTACCATAAAATTTAGAATATTTAGATCAAATATTCCAAAGAAATGACGGACAGAACACTCAAATGGCAAGTATATATAAAATAAATAAATATAAAATAAAAAAGACAGAGAAAGTGGAAAAAACAAGTGCTTTCTTCAGACCGGAAGTTATGCACGCTTTCCTTCAAAATAAGTTTATACTATAGTCTGACGTAATTGTTTTACTGCAAACACAGCGCGAATCAATTTACTTGTAATTAGTATTATTTGTAAAAGTTCACAGTCAGTTGGATGTTTTACTATTAAATTATGAGACTGTTTTGCATCGCAGCTGATTTCAAAATTCAGGACTGTATGCAGTTATATGTCCAAAGTAAAACAGTCATAACACGGATACCACAGAACAGGGCAACGTTTGTTAATGTCTTTATATTTATTTATTTATTTTCCATATTTCCTATTTTATGGAATAATTTTCGTCGCGTTTATTTCGGCTTTTGTTTGACGTTCCACGTTATTTGAGCCTTTTACTTTGAAGACGTCCACCGGAAGTTCCTCGCTCAGCGTCTACCTTGCTCCTCCTGACGTCTCAGCTGGCCCTGCCTGCTGCAGCAGAGGACAACAATGCGTTTTCGCAGCGCGGAGCCGCCGGTGTGCCGGAGCTGACGGCGAATGCCGGAGCCACGCAGGGTCACGCACATGTCGAGCAAACCGTGTCGGTGGTAGGAGCGAGGGTCCTCGGCGGAGCATGGTGCTGCTGCTCCTCGGACTGCTGTGGTTCCGCTGCGCTCCGCTGTGTGCAGGTGAGAAACGACAACAGTGCTGCTGCGTTCACGCGACTGTCCTGTCTGTGGTTAAAACCACACTCATATGTTGGCTTGAACCAGTCTTTTGTTTGTCCCTGATGTGACCACATCACTGACCTGTTCACACCTGAACCACTGATGATGATGATGATGATGATGATGATGATGATGATGATGATGATGATGATGATGGCAATGTTTCTGCTGCGGATGAAGGGATGTGACAGATGAGCCTTTGGGGTTATTGTGGCATTGATCTGTTGTGGATAAATGATCGGGCTGAGTGTAGAAACATGGATGCTGTTTTCAAATGTGTGATGCTGCTCTCAGCATTACATCACTGTCTCTCTGCAGCCGGACAGCCCCCTCCCCTCCCCCTTTCTCAGTCTCCCAGTTATCATGCACCGCGCCTTATTAGTATGAGCACCAGGTAGCTGTGTGAATMATGACGACCACGCCATGCTGTTTGTTTACCCTTCTCTGCTTCTCAGATGAAGCAAAAAAACAGCAATAAACCTGCAAGATGAGCTGTTGCAGCACCTTGATTTCTTTCCTTTTTCAGGTGTTTGGGATTCTTGTCCTGCTTCATGACCCAGTTTGGGCTCAGCTTCAGATGACCTCACATTTGACCCTGACTGATGGGAAGAAGCAACAGCTGATTTCTTAATTATTTTTCATAAGGTGGAGTTAGGTTTTACAAATCTTCCGGCATTTTGCCTCAGTTTTGATGACTAAACATTGAAACTGTTCATTTTGTCATGAGCTGTTGTTCCTCTAAGCATTTATAACTTAGCTTTGAAAAAGTTGGGGTGTTGTGTAAAAATGTTAGTAAAAACAAAATACAAGAAATCTCAGAAACTCATATTTATTCGCAAACAACACGACATCAAAAGTTTGTGCTAAAAATTGTACAGTTTTTTTTAATGAGGTCATTTTTAACTTGATGAAAGTTTGGATACAGGTAACAAAAAGCTTAATTAAAAACAGCTGAAGTCGTTTTTTAAGAACTGGCAACAACTCGGTACGAGGGTTAGGTATAGGTTCAAAATAACACCAAAGCTCTTTAAAGTGGACTGAGGTAAAGGCAAGCAGAGATGGCATGTCGCTAAAGAGGAGAGAAACCATCTGTTATCAGCAGCGCTCACTTCTAAAGTCTGCCTCTCTGATGGTATAGAGATGCATTAGTTTTAGAGATGCTCAATATTGACTTTTTACCGCTATTCGATATGCCGATATTGTTAAACACTTCCGTTTCCGATATTAACCAATATTGCAAACCGATATTAAGCTGACATCAAAATCTCCTGTCAGGGACGTTCTGCCTTCTTTTACTGTGATACCCCACTAGATGCATTCCATAGGTAAATAGGGGTGTAAGAAAATATCGATACACTGAAATATCGCAATATTTCATTTCCTGATACTGTATCGATATTCTAAAGCCCTGAATCAATTTTTTATTAAGGTTTAAAATGTCAACTTTCCAGCCAGCCGTTCATTTTTATGTTGTAGTTCAGCCWCTGACCACTAGTTGGCAGCAGTGAGCCAGCCATTTGGAGGTAGAGGCTATTGTTAAGCATTGGGTGACCATTTTGTAAATTAAGATTAAAAACTAAAAGCTGTAAACAAAATACATTTTAAAACTATTTATTGGCAAAATTTAGTCTAATAATTGAAACCATGGATGAAATAAGACATATGAAACAAATAAAATAAAACGCATACAAAGCAGAACACAGCTAAATGTATCAAAAGTATGTCTATGTGATATTAGAATTTTCTGAGACAATGAATTTTGGTTTTTCATTTTTTTCCCCTGTAAGAGGTTTTTATTTAATAGAATTTTTTGGACAAAAAATTGCAATATATCACAATATATCGCCTTGCTTACAGTATCGCAATATATCGGGATATATCATATCGTGACCCCTCTGTCATGATATGTATCGTATCGCCAAATTCTTGCCAATACACAGCCCTATATGTAGGTAAACATTGTCTGCACAAAATAAAAACCATTTCACTGAAGTTATGGAAAAAGTGCCATATTTAATAACATTTTGTCTCAAACAATAGTTTGAATCATGCTCTCCCTGAGATAATCCAGTTTGTTGATGTCATCAATCGTGCAACAGTGAATGTCTCTGGACCACAAGCTTTTATTAACACATTTTGGTCAAATTCAGGCATTAATTTATTGGGCTTTCGTGATAGGAAGAAAAACCGATACGATATATAGAGATATTACATTTTTATGCCAATATCGGACCGATAATATCTGAACGCCGATATTAYTGGACATCCCTAATTAGTGTCTGTGCCATGAGCAGCTGACACATCCTCAAAATATTTCTTACACCTCTTTCAGACGTGCAAATTACGTTACAGAGATCCTTTGATTCCAAGAATTCAGTGTTTCTAAAATCATCAGCCAAATCTTTCACGACTAAGTGATATACTGGCTATTTTAACCACAACAAGATTAGTCTTCAATGGCACATGCCACAGATTTTTTTCCAATTTGAAAAATGTTTTGCAACTTTGTTTTCATCTGAATGTAACATACATAACACTGTAAACTGAACTCCAGCAAAAAAATGAAAAATAAATGTTCAAGTTAAAGAAAATATTATTTATTTATTTATTTATTACTCAAAAAAGTTGATTTTACATGATATTGCCCCTTTAACTATCTTAAAAAATAAAAACATCTAATGTGTAATGTGTAAAAGGCAGTATGGCACAAAAGCACCGTTAATACAAAAAAGGGCTTCAGAGTTAGAGTCCAGGTGCATCGTGAGACAAAATTCCAGTAAAGATTGTTAACCAGGTCGAATCTAATATCAAACCAAATTCTCAAAAACTCATATATTGAACACGGCCCTGTCTTAAATAGAAGTTTACTGTGTTTTATTCTGAATAAAATTTGCAGTTTAAGAGATTTGCAAAGCATTACACAACGTCCCAACTTTGTCAGGATGTCACGGACTGATAACTAAAACCTTCAAATGGACAGAAGATGCACTTGATCTAATAAACATGCAGTAATGTTGTGCTGCTACAGTTTACATCTGTGCTGAGCTGGACATGTTCAGGTTGTCGATATGCATCACTTAGCTTTTAAGTCCACCCCACTCCCCTGCTTCATGCTGACTTCACAGATAACTCAAGCAAGCCTGAAACACACACACACACACACACACACACACACACACACACAAGTTTGTTTTTCTATCCCCGTGGGGACTTCGCTTTGACTTCCATTCATTTTCCAATCATTTCTATAACCGAACCCTGAATCTTTATCTAAAGCCTAACCTAAGTACATTGACCCTAAATCTAGCCTCAACTAATACCTTGGTCCTAAACCTAACCCCTGACCCTAAATCAGCACCCGTACTCATGGAGAACAGGCTTTGGTTCCCATGAGGAGCAAGGCTTTTTTTTTTCTGGAAAATGGTCCCCATGATATACCAAAAATGCGTTCACACACATACTGTATGGGCTCTGCAGAACCGAGCCTGCGGTACGTGACAGAGATGAGTAATCGCTGGCGAAGAGTCGAGTTGATGTTCTGCCTCTGTTGTCGAGAAGCTTTTAAAAGGGGCGCATCTTCCTGCGTCGGTTTGATTCCCTCTGCAGTGTCAGACCCTAGTGAGGTTCTTTACCTCTCAGCACATGAGGTGAGGTGTTCTGGTTCTCAGCACAGAAACTAAGTAAAGTTGTTTGGTTGACATCACAGTTCAGATACGGTATTTGTAGGAACTCTGGGTCAGAATAGGATTTTTGGATTGTAACCGCTTCAACATACTTTGCCTTATTTTACCTATTCTTATATTAAAATCTTTAACTTGTTTAGGAAATTACAGCTTTTTATGCAGTTAACTTTGTTTACATTGTTTCTAATTTAAATGAATGGAGAACTGTAGATCCCTGGGAAACTTTGTGCTCTTTGAAAGCTATTTAAACACACAAACTTTGTATATTTTTTTATTTTTAGCTGCTGTTTTACTAGTCTTAGATTTTGTTCTGATGATGTTAACTTTAACAATTACCTCTCAGCTCCTGCAACCAACCTCAAAGTCATTCAGCACTCAGCATTCACGCTGCATTTTCTCTAGTCAGACAAAAGATAATTTCCTTCCTAATGCTGTTGTTTGAGACAATAAAAGCCGGAGCCAGGTTGTGGTTTTTGTTCCGGGGACAACTCATTGTGACATTGTGTTGTTCCCTGGAGCAGCAGGCAGAGAGACTGTTGCCTTGGCTGCTCGGTTCAACTCCCGCTGCTTCTGTTTAAGCAATCCAAAAATGTCTCATGCTCATTAGTCACCATTGTGGATTATTTTTAAATCAAATGCCAGAAAACAATATTCCACAGTCGATGCTCCTCTTGTCTTTACAGCAGGCTGCAGCGAGCAGCTGGAGGTTCACACAGAGCGGAGGGGCGTCATCTACAGCCCCTCCTGGCCTTTAAACTACCCGCCTGGCCTCAACTGCAGCTGGCGCATCCAGGGGAGTCCAGGAGAGGTCATCACCATCAGGTAAGTCTCGCCTCTGCCACGCCCACGTTCCAATTTCTGCAGAACGAGCGCCCGACGTGGTCGACCCCTGTGCCGCAGTTTCCGGAACTTTGACGTAGCGGAGTCGGGACAGTGCGCGGGAGACCGGCTCCTGCTGACCCCGTCGTGGAGCGGAGAGTCCGCGCTGTGCGGCTCCGTGCTGCCTCCCCCTTTCATCTCCACCAGGGGGCGCGTTTGGCTCTACTTCCACTCCCAGACCAACAGCACGGGCCAAGCCCAGGGCTTCCGCCTCTCCTACATCAGAGGTATGCAGCTGTGCCCTCCAACATGAGCAGGAAGTGGAGTTATCCTCTCATAGAAAGGTTTAAAAACTCAGAGTCTTTCAGCTTTTATTACCGCCTGTTGCCAGGAGCCCATGAGGACATGTCTTCTTGAGTGTGTTTGTCTGTTAGCAAAATATCTCAGAAACAACTATGTTTTTTAACGAAACTGTCAGACAGTAATAACTAATTAACAGCTCATCAACATAATACAGTTTTATAAATRTTCAGCTACACTGCAAAAATTAGCCATCTAGAAATAAGTTTAAAAATACTAGATTATAGTCTGTGTCTTCTCAGTTTAAGTGAAATAATCAGTCAGTGCAGTAAGAGAAGTGTACGTGTCAGATCTGATGTCTGAAGGTGTTTCCTCTGCAGGCCACCTGGGTCAGAGCAGCTGTCAGTCCGACGAGTTCCTCTGTGGGAACGGGAAGTGTCTCCCTCGCTCCTGGAAGTGCAACGGGCAGGACGAATGCGGCGACRCCACCGACGAGCGCGGCTGCTCCCCGCCTCCCACGGAGTCCCGCCCGGGCCTCTGCTCCCCCGGCTCCCTGCCGTGCACCGAGGCTCAGACCACCCGCTGCCTGCCGGCCGCCCTGCGCTGCGACGGGGCCGCCGACTGCCCCGACGGCAGCGACGAGCGGGGCTGCCCGGACACCAGCTGCGGCCAACGGCTCGGCAACTTTTATGGCTCGTTCGCCTCTCCGGATTTTTTYCGCGCCGACCGGGGCGCCGCGTCCGAGCTGAGGTGCTCCTGGCTGCTGGACACTCAGGACGCCAAGCCCATTGTGCTGCAGCTGGACCTGCAGCTGGGGCCCGGAGATTTGCTCCACGTCTACGATGGCCTGCTGCAGCACRCCGAGCACCTCCTGCAGGTGCTGTCGCATCACAACAACAGGCGCCCGATGCTGCTGGAGTCCAGCCGAGGCCAGATGAGTGTCCTGTACATGGCTCAGCCTCGCAGCTCCGGACATGGCTTCAATGCCACGTACCAGGTACTGCCTGATCAGAACAACAGCAAGGACTGGTTTTGTTTGACGTGTTTTAGATCAGTGGTTCCCAACCATTTTTTTCTCAAAGTTCCCACTTACTTCCAAACCAAGCTACACACACTAAAAATTACATTCATCATAGTATTTTATATGGAACAAATCACAACTAAAGCTGTGCTGAATCAGCAAATAATACAATAGGGATGTTGATACATTTTTAATCCTACACCAATATTAAATCTGACTGGATTCCAAAAGAACATTACAAACCCTACAAAATAACACCAAAATCATGTGTTTATCTCAAGTATGAGGGAAGTTATTGATGTTTGTTTAGGTGAAATCWGCTCATGTTTTCTTGCTGCAGTTCACAGCAGAACCAATTTGTGACCATTTCACCTTGCTGTTTTCTATTTTTGCTCATAACTTCCTCAGTGTTCAAGATATCGCCATGAAATTTTAGGAAAAGATTCACATTCTGATTTTTGTAGGAAGCATCTTGTATCCTAAAAATCGAATAAAACTTAATAATATCTGATGCAAATGCAGCAGAAGAGGTATAAAATAATATTACAAGGCAAACTGCAGCATCAAATCAACTTAATGTGTCTTAGAAAGTAAGGAAATTAAAACRATTTAAAAACCATGTGGACATCTGTTTTGTAAACAAAGCTCCTCAACCAATGACAGCGTGTTAAATGTGTCAGGTGATGAAGACGAGCGTCAAAACACTTTAAAACAAGCGCTGTTCTGGATTAAAAAAAAACACACTTCGACGTTTCAAATCATTATCAAATTTGGAACAATGGCTGATAAAATAATGTTCTTCATGGCAGCTTATCTCTTTAAGGCATCACTAGAAAAACTTGGGTGATTTACTTTGATCCTCTTTTCAAAAACTTGACTCTTCAAAACGCATCAACAAATATTAAAAACTGGAAGACGAGGCCGTAGCTAACTACCTGACATCAGCACGCTTTGTTGAAATTCGTAGAAATAACAAAGCCGGAGGAAATTACAAGAAACGCACTGAGCAGCCTGGCAATATCTGGTCACAGCAGTTTGGGAAGAAAATGGCAGCAGCTGCTGACGAAATGTCCCTATACAATGTAAACCACATTTAATTTACTTCTTTAAAACACTAGTCAATAATGTATCATATTGGGCATGAAACAAGCATTAGAATCATACTAATAAGCTGCTATATACAGTCTAAACCCCATAGAAAAATGTTAGCGTAATGCTAATTTCAGAAAAATCATGCATGAAAAACACATTTTTCCTTTAGTTCACAACAAAAAAATTAGTCTACACAGTTACACAAACATTTAATATTGCAATAACAAACAACTTACCACGTTTGGCAATGTATTTAACTCAAGATGTAGAAGTTTTCTTAAATTTTTTAAGATGTTTGCTTCTTTTAAAGTCACTTCCGGTTTTGTCTAATTTTACTTCCATTTTCACACGAACCCCTTCAGAATAAAAGTAAACAACTCATAGAGCCCCCTAGTGGAATGGAGGGAGTCAATCCAACACCCCACCTCTACCAAAGATGCATTAAACCAGGGGTGCCCAAACATTTTCCCCGAGGGGGCCAAAATGAAAATCTATCCAGAGCTGCGGGCCAAATGCAGTTATATAATACATGAAATACAAATATTTTTTAAAAGTAAAGTCCTTTATTTTTAACGATTAAGCTGTGCAATGGCCCTCTTTTGTTTTAGTCTGTGCACTTGGAGAAAGTCTGCCATACGCTCAAGTAGCAAAGGCTCATGGGACATATCATAAATTGATAAAATATGAGTTTTTGTGGCCTTATAAAGTGTGCAAATCTACATGTGGTGTTAAATCGATCTAAACATTTCTTGTTGTCATTTCATGTTTCATGTTTAATCCTAATAAATCAAAGATACGTATGTCAGCACCATGGCTGAAAACTACCTTCACTACAGCCTCTTTAGATAGTCATTTGACCAATGGAAATACTGTGTTTCTACCTATAGGATAACAGGTTACAATCTTGTAAATTTGGCAACTGTTGGTGGGCCAAATCAAATGGCTTGGCGGGCCAAATTTGGCCCGCGGGCCCCACTTTGGGCTCCTCTGCATTAAACCTTTATCCATCCATCCATCCATCCATTTTCTGTACACGCTTCTTCCTTTTCAGGGTTGCGTGGGTCACTGGTGCCCATATCTAGCAGTCACAGTGCGAGGGGCGGGGTACACCCTGGACAGGTCGCAAGTCCATCACCTAATAAACCTTTATCTCTTTATCAAAATAATAAGAATAATTCAGAATAATTACTAACATTTATTTGCAAATGAAAAATAAATGGAGTTGTTTTGTTGATTTTTTTATTCATTTTTTTTACAAAGAATAAATTTATATTCTCACAATTTTTGAGCAGACAAGACTATAGGCCCCCTCGTGCCTCTGGTGGAGCCCCCAGGTTGGAAACCACTGTTGTAGATGGTAGAGATAGAGAAGTGCCCTTTTGTCTCCTATAATGATTGTTTTTCCTGTCCCACCCGCCCAGGTCAAAGGGTACTGCTTCCCCGGTGAGCACCCCTGCGGCAGCRATCTGGGCTGCTACTCGGAGCGCCAGCGCTGCGACGGCTACTGGCACTGCCCCTCTGGTCGTGACGAGGAGGCGTGCGCCGTGTGTCCGGACGGGGAGTTCCCGTGCGAAGGAGCCACCGGAGCGTGCTACCCTGCATCGGAGCGCTGCAACAATCAGAAACGGTGCCCGGACGGGTCGGACGAGAAGAACTGCCACGACTGCCAGCCTGGGAACTTCCACTGCGGGACCAACCTGTGCATCTTTGAGACGTGGCGGTGCGACGGCCAGGAGGACTGCTTAGACGGGAGCGACGAGAGGGACTGCCTGGCCACGGTGCCCAGGAAAGTGATCACGGCGGCCCTGATTGGCAGCCTGGTGTGCAGCCTCCTGCTGGTCATCGCTCTGGGGTGTGCACTCAGACTGCACTCACTCAGGAGCAGAGAGTACAGGTGACGACTCTTTGAAATCTACATTAACAGACTTGTCTGAATTATGTATTTCATCTTATTTACAATAATTATTAATTGATTACTATAATGGTGTCTGTGTCTATGCAGGGTGTGTGTTTTCTGTTAGCAAAATATCTTAAAGCAGTGGACAAACAAAATWGGACATCTACAAAAGTCAAACTCCAGATGGCTCACAGCTAATTGATTTTCATCAACAAAAATGGTTATAACTCTATTGGTTTGACTGATTCTGGGCTAAAATTTGTCGTGGTTGTACCTGAGCCAACATTTGCACAGAAATCACAGGAGATCTTGCAACGTTTTCTAAATTTATCCCAAATTCTGTTATTTCTCAACATATAATGATTTATTTATTTTTGTTGTATTTCACCTTCATTAACGGGTAAATTCCACTGAGATCACAAGTCTCTTTTCAAAGCAGGCCTGGAGCTGAAGGTCGTCTCAACAGGGCTTAAAATGAAACTTTTCTCCAGCTCCAGCTGTTACCTTTTTTAGTGTCGTTTCATTGTTCTCCAGTTTTAATATTTACTATAATTTGCTGTTTTGTAACACTTTGAGATTTTTGCTAATGAAAAGTGTGTTACAATTAAATTCATTATATATATTTATAACTGTTATAATCGTTTATGTTTTTTTGGACTGGGAGAAAACCCACAAAAACACGACACAAGGAAAATGTGCAAACTCCACACAGAAAGACCCCTGGTCCAGAGCGRGGTTCAAACGTTTGTTAAACTGAATGCCTGTGGTGGGCACAGTTCCACTAAAGCACCAGTAGGGGAACTAATTTCCTGATTAGTGCTTTGGGGCTTTTGCTAACTTTAAAAATTATTAGTGGATTAGCACTTGCTAAATTTAGAAGCACTAACTGAGGTCTGTAAATGTTATGGATCAATGTTAGTGTTAACAGCTGAGGGTGAAAGCTGTCACACATTTTGTTCATATGTGTGTCACTGATCCACCAGGTGATAATATATGAACTCAAACACGGCTGTGGAAAGTCAATGATAAGTCTTAAGAGAGCAACATGTGACTCATGTTGTCTGTTGAAGAATGTTCATGGGTTGACTGGGTTATTTTAGTGCTTTAGAATTAGCTTTTGCTAAAACTTTCAGTGCGTTAGTGCTTTAGAATTAGGGGACCTAAATATTTAAGTTAGTGTGAAACTAATTTTTAGATTAATGCTGCCCACCACTGCTGAATGCATTGAACTTTATTATTCTTCAAGCAACACTTGACTTTTAATTTAAATGTATATATTTTATTTGCTTGCAGAGCGTTTGAGACTCAGATGACTCGCATGGAGGCAGAGTTTGTTCAGAGAGAAGCTCCTCCTTCATACGGTCAGCTGATAGCCCAGGGTCTCATTCCCCCGGTGGAGGACTTCCCCGCGTACAACCCCACTCAGGTAACAGAAATTGCACACAAACACCCCACACAGTGAGGAAATGTCTAAACAGCCCGTGTCCGTCTCTCCACCCCCACCTTCCTCCCCTCCAGGCCTCCGTCCTGCAGAACCTCCGCTTGGCGATGCGCAGACAGATCAGACGCCACTCGTCTCGCCGCTCCACTTCATCCTCCTCCTCTTCCTCCTCCTCCTCCCGGCGGCGTCTCGGGCACCTCTGGAGTCGGCTGCTGCACAGCCGGAGCCGAGGCCACTCCGCGCTGCTGGATTCCAGCGGACCCACGCAGATCATACTGGGGCTTCACAGCTACCAAACGGTGAGGGGGCCGGGCGGGCCGGGCGAGGCCGCGTCAGGAACCGGACTCCAGAACGAGGCGGAGGAGGTCGACGCGCGGAGCTCACGCTGCTCGCCGTCAGCGGACCTGCAGGCGTGCACGCCGGAGAGCCCGGCCTCTCCTCTCTCCTTCCACTCGGCGGAGAGTCTGGATGAGGAGGAGCTGTCGCCCGTCAGCAGGGGGCCCGCGCCTTCCAGGCCTTCCAGCCCCCAGCAAGCCTCCGCGCCCTCCTGCCACCTCCGGCCCTCTAGAAAAATGGTTCTGGAGCTCGCCGTTAACCTGAAGGGTGTTTCCTTAAGACATTACTCACCTCTGGGGCCTTTATCCCCCATCTCCCCCTCTGTGTTCACGAGCAGCCCCCAAACGCATTCGCCTCCACTTCACCCCGAGGGTTCAGAGGTGGTCTCACCTGCAGAGCCGAGGGTCTCCTCAGTGAAAGTGGAGGAGGGTGTCTGCCGCTTCACTGCGAATGCGCAGAGCAGGGAAATAAACAGAGAGGAGGAGAGAACGAGAGAAGGAAACGGCTGATTTGGGAGGTTTCAAAATAAAAAATCTCCACTCTGATCAAGTGTCCTTCAGCAGTGTCTGCACCCGAGCGGGAGGTGGAGCTGCATCGTTCTCCCCCCGCACGCAGGAGCCCCTACCCCGTTTATTATTCTGAACACTCACGCCGTGCATTTGCACTAAATGATGCATATGCAGTCTTTTCCTAAAACCAGCATTTCTTACACACCGCTCGCTTAGATTGCACCCAGGTTAACCTGCTGTGTAATAAAATGTTCCACAAACCTAAACTAAAAGATTTGGAAACCTGAAAATCCAGAATATCCGCTTCATGTCAGAGCCAATACAACACCGCCTTATACTGTGAGTCCTGAAGCCTTTGGAGGGATGCGTTTCATTTCTTCGTCATCACGAGGTGATAAAAATGTTGTTTCGTGACTGTCGTAGTGCAGAATGATGTTTTACATTTTTGATAGTCAACGCTATAAACCTTTCATTTCTTTTAAAAAGAATTATACAAATATTATTCTGACTCAAATATAAGAGACATGGTTTCAATTATGTCACAAATTATTACACATATAGTGCACAGGTGTTTGTAGCAAATGTGTTGTCATATTTAAATGACAATACGATGAACAGAAATGAACTTTCTGCTGGCTTTAGTTTTCAGTAGATTTCATGGCAAAGAAAATACTAAATATCACATTTTCTTTTTTCTCTTAAATCAAACCAATTAGTTGGTTTTAATCAAAGGCAAACTTTAGCAGAGAAGACTGCTTCTACCTTTTTAAAGACATTTTTAGGATTATAAATATGTTGTTTTAGCTAACACGCTCCTGCGTGACAGAGCCACATCAAACTAAACACATAAAAAGTTTTGAATGAATGAAAGAAAAACAATGAAATTAGTGTTTGGTAGATTATTTATTTATTGTAAAAATGCTTCTTGACAATAGATCTTATACCAGGCAGCTGATTGGCAGCACCTGAGGGCGACCAGAAACTGTAAACAAGTGAGAAGATTTGGCAAAATTCTCACCTCAAAACTCGGTTCATCCCATAAATGCATGTTCCGTACAAATGTGGCTCCATTTAAAATGGAAATTACCAGACTTTCAAACAGTATAAGATTTATTGCCAAGAATTATTGTTACAACAAAGAAATAATCTACCCAACACAATTGTCCTTACTTTTTGTTCTAAGTTTATTTGTCCTCTTTCTTCTACCAAACTGCAAATATTTAAGGCTGTTGATGTTCTTCTCCTTGTAATTCAGTCACACTTCTTAAAAAAAAGTCTGGAAATGTCATCATTCACCTCAGTAAATACTGGTATTGATGCTGCGGGAATTAAAATCCATTAAATATTAATGGCAGAGAAACAGTTAACTTAGCACAAACCCTCATTCTTAGTGGTAAAAATCTAACTGCTGCAACAAATTTATCACATCGGTTTATTATTTAAGAAAGTGAAACTTGAGGAAAATTTGACCTTTGACCCAAGATGGCCAACTTCCTGTTGGTTTTAGTGAATAACTCCAAGAGACTTTTTTTCTTGATTTAAGGAGATCTACCAGTGCCCCGAATTTCAGCTCTCTAGGACTTACCAGTTCCTCTTTCTCATGTTAGGTGGCGCTGTCGAGTCATTTGGCCACGCCCAATAAAAAAATACCAATGGAATCATGCGATTTTCACCAGGGGACAATTTTGGGTTTAAGTGTTTCTTCCTGTTTCTTTAACACAAGCAGACAACCAGCTATTTTAGCAATAGACAATAGACATAGAATTAAACAATAGTTTTTGTTTTAAGAGGAGTTCCTATATATTTTATATTTGTGCAAAGCTAATTGTATACTTGCGGTAAAAAAAAACTACTTTTATGTGTTTTTTATTTATTATTGTTCCAGTACTTGTTTAACATCACTAAATATGCTTCTGTCCAACCTTTATGATACTTGGGCTTCATGCACCAACCTGTTTTTTTAAAGCTTTTCAGGAAGTTTAGCAAGAATTAAAACTGAAGACTTGGATGAACGTCGAGGTTGAGTCCAAGGACGTTGCCTGTAAATCTGCTCAGCTACTCGTTCTCTCACTTGAATAATCCGGTGTTAATCTGTGATTGTATTTACGCTCAAAAAGACTGAAGTGAATGAATGAGAGAAGCCGACCTGCTGACTGTGCTCGCTTTACTGAAGGTGTCTGGACTGCGAGTGGGAAAATGACTTCATATTTTCTACAATGGGAACAATAAAAAAAAAAAAAATCTATTTTTCAGTCTTCAGTGGAGACTTGTGCTAATTTAGACACTGCTATGTTCTGCTGGTTTTGGGCACCATTTGTAAAGCTGTTTTGCCTCATGTTGTGACACTGGTGGGCAAATATTTTACTAATCAATGGAGAACTTTTAAAGAATGTAAGTTTAGCCTTTTTTTTTTTCTTATTTCCATCAGTATCTTGCAGCAGAAGGAAAAGGTCGATCACCAGTGTTGGTCAGTAAAAGAGGGGCATAAATGTGAGTTCCTGCAGGTTTTCTTCTAAAGTGAGCTGAATGTGCCATGATGCCACCCTCGTGCTTCTTATCGTAGATTGAGTTGTAAAAAGCTGCTGCTACAGCCTGCGTGTGCCATTGAAGAGGTTTCCATCTAAAACTGTTTTTTAAGCTTTGCTCTTTCAACCATTTGACAGTAAATAATACAGTATGATTTACTGTCAGAATAAAACACATAACAGCACAGATTATTTCTCTGGCATAAAACATTTCACTGCTTCATCAAGAAGTTTATCTCTGGGATTATCAAGAATGTGGATTTTCTGTAACTTTACAGAAGTGTGTGTAAATATTCTCTCCTGGTTACATTCAACACCTTGAAGCTCTTTTTAGATAATGTGATGTGATTTTTCATGTTAATAATGACCCAGTGGTAGTGGCTGAATATCTATTGCACTGTTAAATACACAGACCTGTTAAATACACAGACCTGTTAAATACACAGACCTGTTAAATACACAGACCTGTTAAATACACAGACCTGAGGCCATTGTAAAGTTTTACTTGATCAAATTGATGAAAACTTTTTTTCTTGTGTTTTTTTGTAATGTTCATCCTGAAAGGCTGAAGTCATCATCTAATTGTTTGAAAGCATTTCTTACATTTTGAGGTTTTCCGTCTAAAACCTGCACAGCTTTCTGCTTTTATTTTGTTGTTTTAAGGTGCCTGAAATGAATAAAGTTAAACCTGCAGCTCATTTTGTTTTTCCAATTCTTTTATTGTAAAGTGTCCACCTGGGCTTAGTGATCAGTGCCAGTAGCAACATAACACAACAAATTGGTTTTGTACGACTTTTATTAGTCTTTTGTCACATGTTCACAACATTTACCCTGGTCACCATTTTAATTGTGTAAAAACACTTCGGTATTTGAGCTCCTATGTTCAGATGACCAAACCATTACTGTGGATAAATCCCTGTACAGCTGCATCACCGATGGTTCCCTGCACAGTAAGACAAGTATTTACTAAAAAAGGGCACTATAAAATCAGTTTTAATAACTGCAATCAGCCACACTTCCTGCAGAGAGAACAGAGGAGAAATGTCTCCAAATGCTGTAAAGATCCACGAACATGTCAAAAGCAGCTTTTAATCGCCCGATGAGAGCATTAGAGGAAGCTAYAAACATCACTAGAAACAATTACACTCCTTAGAAGTTGCTATTTTTAATGAATTACATTGTTATCACTGTACAACTTCACTCTTTGACAAAGAGGCACATGCTTCAACGGAACGATACGTAAATGATCAGGAATGTCATCTTTGAAAGAGGTTCTGGCACGTTAATTTTTTTTTACACCACATTTATAAACGTCAGAAGTAACACTGCCCAGACAACAAGACAAACCTTTTTTTGTCTTTATGTTCTCACGTGCGACAAACTTACCAGCATCTCCGTGCCACCAAAAAGCACCACAGGTTCATTTCCAGTGCTAACCTTTCAGGGTTTAGCTCAGGGAACACTGGCTCATTTATCTGTTCTGCTGTGTTTACAATGTGAACTAATTAACTCCCAGATCAAATGGGCCACACATTGTAAAAGTAGCGGCACTATTTATGACTGTTTGAGAACTAAAACTTATTTTCACCACCGCTTGGTCAATATGTTTGGTCAAGGAAACAGAAATACAATCAAGTCATATCCAGAGGTCATGATGCCATTTGTACCACAGTCAGCTGGTTGATGAAGAGGCGGGAGCAGGAAGTGGTCATTCTGTCGATGTGACGTCTGCTGTTATCCAACACATTAATGGTAACAACACATTAGAACGCTGACATCAGTAAGAACTTGACTGATGAAACACGAGTGGAAAATGAACTCGAACAGTTGTTTAGGTCCAGAGAGCAAAGGAGGGCAAACCTGGAAGAACAGCTCTCCATGTGTCGTAAACATACAGTTCATCCAGCTGACAAACCAAACTTATTATCCTCATTGACTTTGCTGGGGCCACATATAAATATTAAATAAGTATTAGCACCAACAAGGCACTGAAGGTATGTCAGGAAACAGCTGCAACAAACTACAAACTTAACAAGAAGAAATGTCCGGAAACTGTAGCCAAGCAGAGATGACAGAAAATTTAGTAGAAGTGAACATCATGTAAGTACTAATTACTGCTACAGTAGTAAAAAATAAAAATAAAAATGGTAAAGTGCAGGAAAAACTTGCATATTCATCTCAAAAGTTATTTTTTTTCTACTCCACTCCAGTCCCGTTCAAGCGGCACCTGTGCAACAATATGTTTGAACGCATTTCTTCAGAATTCACTGAGAGAACAATGTAAAAAAAAATTTAAGACAAAAACAGGAAGTGCAGGTGTCGATGCACGAAAGAAGCCCTGATGGACTTCACTGCTCTTTGGCAGTGAGAGGTTCAGTCTCTGAGGAGTCTTCCTGTGGAAACACAACATAAAACAGCTTCTGGCCCATGTACGTGGCTTTCTCTGCAACACAGACAGACGAGTCACGCCCTCAGAGATCGTCTAAAACACGTCACATAAATAAAGATTAGGAGTGCTGAGAAGTGGCACAGACAAACTCACCGACTAGGACGTAAACCCACTTGGGTTTTTCTTTCCACTGAACGCCGATAAAGAAAACGGGGACGCCGGTGAGCATGATGACCATCCCAAGACCACAAACCACCGGCTCAGAGTACAAACTGAAGCACAGCAGCACGGCCCAGAACAGCAGGTAGGTGATCGGGACAATGATGTTTACCTGCAGAACAATAACAATCATGTTTCTACTCATTTAAGCCTGAACATTATGCAGTCGTTTTAATGTTAAAAATGGGAAAAACATACAGAAATACATTTATTAGAAGACTCTACAGCTCTGAGCATCTTTTGTTGGACAGTTCATATTTTTATATACRCAGCATGAGTTCTGTTTCCTCACACCTGTAAATGTAAACAACATTTATGACACTAGGGGGTGCAAAAACATTATGTATGTCTAATGATGGATGTAAATAATCTGTAACAACTGAAAACTTCATAAACTGGTTTGCAGGTCATTGTTAAAATGCTTTGGTGAAAATTACTTTGTTTTAAGTCACTTTTTGCTTAAACACATTGAAAATAATCAACATTTAGGTTAAATTTAGGTGACAAAAATCAGCATTTATCATTGAGATTTTACTAATTTAATTGATCTACACTGATTGAAGACAGATTAAATAGAGAATTTGTATTTCAAGCAAAACTGCAGTGTGAAAACTTAATGTTGAGAGATTTATTGTGTTGAATAGCTAAAAAAACTGAAACTAGTCTAAAAATAGCTAAAAAAAAAGTAGCTGAAATTATCACAAACAGAAAGAGCACATTTGTTGAATTAAGCAGTGAGAAGCTGAAATTACAAAAAGGTGAAATTAGCTCAAAAAAGCTCAAATTAGCTAAAAGGCAGCTTAAAGCAAAACAGCTAAAATTTGCAGAAAGCAACTGAAAGAAGCATAAAAATAATTTGCACAATAGCAGAAAAAGGTAAAAAATAAAAAAGCAAAAATCAACAAAATAAAAGCCAAATGAAGCTGAAATGAGTACAAAAGGAGTTAAAAGCAGAACTAGAATAAAAAGTACAATAAAGAAAACCATTTTAAATGGTTTTAAAGATGTTGAAGACAGATCCATTATTTTTCAATAAGATAAACATGGCAGAAACAGCTAAATATCTCAAAAAAGTTTAAATTGCTGAAATACCAAAAGTCATTGCTGGAATATCCTGAAGGAGCTGAACGTTTTGATATAAACTGTTGAAATAGCACAAATATTGCAGAACGAGATGTGCAGAAAAACGTACGAAACAAAAAAAGTATCTGTGTGAGTGCTTTAGAAACACTCACACAACTATGAATGAAAGTACCAGGTAACATCCTCAACTTACCTGTTAGGCTCTTTAAAACATTGACTTCATTATTTTTCCCTTTTCATTTGTATTTCTCAGTGTGTTCTGCTGTTGTTTAGTTTCATCTGGTTCTGTTGTTTTAAAAGCGAACAGCTGACAGTCCTCACTCAAAGGATAAATAACGCTCAGGTCCTAAAGTCCCAGGAGTACCTTGATGGGTCTTGCCAGGTTGGGTCTGGTCTTGCGCAGGTAGAGCAGGGCGGCGATGGTCACCCCGTAGGACAGGTAGTTGATGAAGGACACGTAGTTGATCAGGTTGTGTGTCTCTCCAACAAACAGGATGAGTATGGTGGCGATGCACTGAGGGATGCAGGCAGGTTTAAACACAGAACAGCACATGTTCACATGTTAGAAGTGACAGGGAGGCACCTACACAGAGCAGCAGCGCAGGGATCGGGGTGCAGTTTTTAAGGTGGATCATAGCCAGCAGGTATGGCAGGTGACCCTCTCTAGCCCCCGAGAAACACAACCTACAAACAGAAACGTGCCTTAAGGTTCAGACCCACATGTTCGCAATCGTTTCAAACATTTGTCAGTGATTACAGATCATTTAATTAATGATGGCTGCAGCAGTGTGTACCTGGAGGAGGTGAACAGATACCCATTAATCCCTCCAAAAGTGGACAGGGCCACAGAGATCGGCATCACCCAGGAGAACATCCCGAGCAGCTTCTGCCCAAAAGTCTGAAACAACAACAAATAACAGATTACTGACTGCGTGTTTCTCCGTTTTCTCCAAAGTTAAATATTAACTGATTATTCTGAACAAATGAGAAAGATTTCATCTTAAACACATTCCAAGTTTAAAAAAAAACATTGCAGCCACAGAACATCATCTTGGTTAGTTGAGGTGCACCTCATGGTTAGCCTCTCATCTTCAGGAGGACTGATTGTGTAAACACAAAGCATCCACTACTCACCACCGCCACAGCGTTGGAGGCAAGCAGCTCCTCTGGGGTCATGGAGGTAAAGTAGGCGATGTTGGTCATGGTGTAAACCAGGGTCACCAGCGGGATAGAGATGTAGATGGCACGAGGCAGGTTTCTATAAGAACAGCAACGTTTATCCAAAACAGATTCTTAGTTCTGAGTTTGCATATCTGTGTTTTTGCTCATGTCATACTTGCGCGGATCCACAACCTCCTCTGTAACGTAGTTGAGGAAATTCCAGCCGCTGTAAGCAAAGGAGGCTTGGAGGAAGGCCAGAGCTATCTGCCCAACTGAGGGGTCCTGAGTGAATTCGAAGGCCACACTAGGCTGCAGGGCATCGTAGTGACCTGGACACAGATGGACGAGGAGCAGGAAGAGATCTAACTCATGGATTGTTGGCTCATTTACAGGGACAGCTGGTATAAGTGAGCTGTAGGGCTGAGCCCTTTCTGGTGTTTACGATAAAACTGTTACCAAACCTAATAAGCACAAATTAAAAATATTATATCACAGTTTGTTAAATTTACAACAAAACTGGTGCCAAACAGTGGAGAAAATCCCAGATTCTTTCCAAAGGGCTAACRTTTCACAGCCCCRTTTATTTATGGTGTTTCRTGGTGCAGGATGATTGACAGACATCTTGTCCCGCCCCATCAGTTCGCTGCTCATTGGGGCTAATTTTACTCAGCCCAGGGTCAGAGCAAGGCCACAGGCTTYAGCCAKTGAGGGTGGATGTACAATAACATGTCTCAAGCATGAGTGAGTGTGGATGTGGTTTGGCGTGGGCTGAGTCAGTACGATGGTGAGCAACATTAACATAAACCAGGTGGATTATTTCATTTCTCACCTGTTTTTCCTTCATGTCTTTGTTGGAATACCGAATTGGACAGGTGGGGGGGGGTCGAAAACACAATGGATATTAAAATCCAGCAAAACAAAAAGCAGCAAAACCAAAGTTTGTTTGTGATCAGGTTTTGGCGAAAGGATTAGCTAACAGACAGGGTAGTTTTGTGTTGAAAAAGGACATAATGTGAATTTCTAGGTTTTCTTTATTTTAAATTGGATGCTCCCGTTGTTGGAATCTAATCTGCGGTGTTTTATTATAAATCTATTAATCTGTTAGTCCACCCTTCAAAATTTCACCACCATCTGCCACTGCTCATTTTAAATATTAGATACAACACTCACAGTTGGATCATTGTAACCACTACTTCAGTGTTTGAAATACAGAGATGTAGATTTTAAAGGTTTTTGTCTGCACACTACTTCACAGCTTTACAAACATTGGGCCTCATGCAAGAACATGTTCGTATTCTTATCCTAAATTTCTAAACCATTCGTACGCACAACTTAAGAACAAATCTGTGCGTACGAACGGTTCTTGCATGAGGCCCAATGTGTTTTTCTCCTCATTAGGTTCTGAGCTTCGGTAATGCAAGTTTTCCTTTATGTGCAGCTACATTCAGACCAAACTGAAGCAAACAGAGTCACGAAAGCCGTTCTTGTCAGGAATGTCGGCGTGTTCATTCACCTTTAAAGATCTGAACGAGTCCGACCACTATGATGAGCCCCAGAGCCAGAAGTTTCCCTACTGTGAAAATATCCTGAATCCTCGTGGCCCAGCGCACACTGGAGCAGTTCACCCAGGTCAGGAACACTGCGCACACACAGACAAATCAGACACACAYAAAGTAAAACAAACAACTTTGTTAGGACTTGAGTTTCATATAAAGCACAGAGATCGAAGCTGAACCCTTTTAGCCTCCAGTGCTGATGATGTCAGAAACAAGCCATTTTCTGTGCTGAAGATAAAACCTGAAAAAAAAAACAAGCTGCATGTTTCTTGACTGACCTCACAGTCTGTTTTACATGAAACTGCCTTTGGCGCTCAATTTAACCTCATGCGATAAATCCTGTTTTAACTGCTGTAACTCCTGACTGATCCCAAAACACTAGTTTCTGTTTTTTTTTTTTTTTTACAAAAAATATCAGAGTATAAATGGTTGTTCTGAAAATAAATATTTGTGTCCAAGTTGGTGTTTTAGGACTAAAACACTTCCAGTTTTCCTGTAAGGCAGTCTATTTAGTTTCCACATCCGCCCCACCGAACTGAAGTTCACCAATCATGGCCGAGCTATCAGTCTACAGTCCTTTTCTTTGGCTCTAAAGCAATGTATCGGTGTGGATAACAGATCTTTTCCTGAGGGTCTGATTTGTTTTGACTTTCCCAGAATGAGAGATTGATCCAGGGTTAAACGTMGTTCACTTGGTTGCAAATAACTGGGCTTTGCACTAGGGGTGCAACGATACAGAAAATTCACGTTTCGGTTTGGTTCGATACTTTAGTCTCACGGTTCGATATTTTTTCGATACAAAAAAGAGAVATTTCCATGCCCATTTTAACTTGAATTTTTTTWAATTAATTATGAACATTTGTTTAACCTCAAAAGTACAGTTTTTAAATTAAATGCTGCTGAAACAGCAAGTTTCTCAGTGGATCTGCGCTCGACAATGCAGCCTAGGTGGAGTAGTCGAACACAGATCCACTGATCCTTTAACACAGAGCATCTTCAGAAGACAAGTTGATAAAGWAAATTTTAAAAATCTGTATTGTTAAATACAAGTGTGTATTGAACCTAAAGCACTGTTCGATAAGGTTTGATACGTGTACATGTATTGTTGCACCCCTACTTTGCACATTTAGCACAGAGAAACACCTACAAGTCAGTTCTGATTAGATTTAGGTTATGCAGCTTTCAGCTAAGGTGGAAATACAATCATTTACTGTACATAAAATATATTTATAGACAAAGGTTTGACCCAAGGAGGAGTTAGAAAGAGCATCTAAAAAAAAATCMCTAATCTTTTATGTGATTTCACTCCCTCAAAGAAGGGAGCAGCCAAAACACAACACATTTGCAAGAATTGTAGTGAGAAAACAGGCAACTATGGTGCATTGGTACAAAATGTCAAAAAATGATTAACGTATGAGTGCCTTAAAGGAAATGTTTGAAATAAAATCCTAAAAAACGAGATGAACTTACAGCAACTATTTTTGTTACATTCCCTGCGCCATAGCAAAGTTATTTTCAAAACCAGCTGACAAATCCTTTCTCCTAATTTAGTTTGAGGTTTGCCCTTTCAAACAACGTCAAGAAATGTCCATTAGAAAAGTTTTAAAATATGTTTCAGACCAGTCTGAGAATGTTTTGTATGACCAAATCTGACCTAATCTTTGGTCTAAAATAACGGGTCATGTGTATGAAGCTGATGGACACGGGTTAAAAACAGTTTCTTTCACTGAGATATTAAAATGTACGTGTGTTTTCAAGGGTTAGAAATACATGAAAATTAAAATAGTTCTAATTAGAGACTATCAAAATAGTCATCTTTGCATTACACTACACAGCACAATTAGCTTTTTTTAGTTATCACATTTCTATTTGTATTTGTATGTTTAGAAAACTTTGAAATTTAAACCTGTCTCGTTTTCAGATGYTGGAAGTGAGGTTTTGCAGGATGACTTAAAAGATTAATATTAAAGCGTCACAAAACCTTAACAGTTCAGTTTTTGGGGTCTGAAGCACACTGAGGGTATGTTCTGCTTGTGTTACGAATGCATAGAAACACTTTAGTCTGTGCACTGACTCTTGAAGTGCTTTGTGTTATAGTGAACATTTTGTTCAAGGTACCTACTGCAAGCCAACGAGAAGCAGCAGCGCTGTTTTACTAAAAAATGATGCAGAGCAGAGAGCYGCAGCAGTCTGAGGAGATTTCTCTAGAGCATTTACTTCCTTCTCTGGCTCGCCTCACAAACTTTATCATTTAAAAAGAACCAGTCATTAATTTCTGACATAAATAACTGGAACTTATACGTTGCAAAAAAGAAGCAAAACTATTAACAGCACACTACACACTGCTCACTTATCAGAAACAGACACAAGACTGAACATCTTTATTAACAGACAGCTTTTTATTTCTGAGTGACCCACAGTGTACCGTTAGGTGCTTAAACCTCTGCTCTCCTTACTCACAAACACTGATATGACCCTCAGTTCTGCATGTTTTTGAATCCCACACTATAACAAGGATTGGCCCAGTTCCAAGAATTCAGGCAGTGGCCCTACAACTGCCCTCCAGTCAAACTGAGTGAGATATAAATCCAGCAGAATGCTATGATAAAAAATAAAAAGTTTAGTTACATTTTATGTTGGAAAAAGTAACCATGATGCTCATATGTAAAGTTAATGTAACACAACAGCAAAGACGTGCAACAATAATGAATATTGTTCACGCTATTAATTTGTGAGGCGGTAGGTTTCTGTTAAACATCAACCTCATTTCATAGAAGAAATGGATATTTTACATACTAACCTCTGTTTAAACAAATGCCTCGGTCACACCGGTCAAAGTTGTAATTCTGACAACTTTGACCTTGTCCAACATTTCTACGAGATATCCAACAAGAATGAAGTTCAAATATGCAGCTGGATCTATTTATAGATCCTGTTTATACAGGAAAATGATAAATGTTTATACGGTTCTAATGAATAAGTTCTGCTTTACTTCTGCTGTAACATTCGGCATTTGGTAAAACATACTTACATACAAACAACTAACAATGTTTCTCTAAAAAAGTACATAAATGRACGATGACAGTTTTCACTCAGTTTGAAAATTTCCCCCAAAAAATACGCCACAACTGCTCTCATCAACTTTTGAGATTTTTATAACCAGTCCTTTTATAATTGATTTCCAACCAACTACAAGTGTAAAAATTAGATTTTTTTTCTTTGTCTATGTATCAAACAGCAGTGAACCTGTTAATGTTGTTTGCTCCTCAGTTGAAAGTGTCAAAGCACCAGGACCTGACCGTTTGTCTTGTATGGACATGTTTTTATCAGCACGTGTGAACAAACGTACCCAGGTCTTCGGCTGTGATCAAATCAAACTGGACAAATGAGGATACCAGGGCTAAACAGCCTTTCAAAATATGGGTTGGAGATTAGAAAAGGAATTTTTGAACAGTTGTGCATTATTGAATTTGTTAGCAGACTCACTTTTGCTCAGCGTTAAACGTGACACACATGAAACATATTTGGCTTGGTGCTGATCCTCAAATTGTTTGTAAAAGCACACACCTTTTATTTCAAACAGGTGCATTAAATTAAATCCATCACGGGACGTGGCGTACAATAAACAAATAAGAGAACAGAAAAAAACAAACAAAAAAACAAAACAAACAAATGAGAGCACTAAAATACAAAGACAACATTAATGATGCCAACACCACCACTAGCTCACATTTGGGTAACTCCCTCAGACTGTTAATGTTTCAACTGAAATACATTTATGATACACCAAACATAAAGATTTCCTCAACTTAATCTTTGTTGCTGGTTTGGTGAGTACATCTGCCAGCACAGCATTAGTTGGACAGTACTCCAGAATAATATTTCCTTCACTTACAACTGATCTGATAAAGTGGTATTTATTTATTTATTTAGACCTTAGCTGAATAAGCCAAACCAACCATATGAAACTACAGTTGTCTCAAGTATAAACACTCCTGTACAGTAGCAGCTAGTGTCATGCACTCCGCCTCACACAGTAGACTGTATTTTGGTCTTCCATGAGACTAATGGACCATCCTTATTCAGACTCATACAGTAACCTGTAGTACTTTGTCAGTCTGATACATCAGCTGCCCAATCGGCATCACTGTATGCATATATAATGCTCTCAATGGCACCCTTTTTAAAACAGAGTTCTTTATTTTGTGTGTCTTTTAGATATCTGAACACATGCTTGACAGTATTCCACTGCTCGACTAAATACTGTGCCAGTTTACTCACTACATAGCTTAAATCTGGCCTTGTACACGTTGACAGATTCCTACTGCCTCCCTACATTTTCTGACATCACTCATTACTTTGGTATTGTCAGTAAAGTTCATTTTTTGCTCACAGGGGGTAGTTCTTGGCTTACAGTTCTGCATGTCAAACCTCTCCAGTATTTTTTCCACATACCTGGACTGTGACATTTTACTGCTGTCTGCATTTTGTTCAAAGTCAATACCAAGAAAATGTGTCAGCTTTTCTAAATCCTTCATCATAAATTCAGAGGCAAGCTCCTCTTTCACATCTCTAAGTGTATTCATATCACTGGCAGCAACAATCAAATCATCCACCCATGTAATTATAAACACTTTTTCAGTACCAGAAATCTTTGTGTAAACACAATGATCAGCAGGGTTTTGAACAAACTTGATTTTACACAGGTAATCATGCAACATTTTGTTCCAGTTTCTTCCAGAATGTTTGAGCCCGTACAGGGATTTTGGCAGTTTATACACAACTTTTGTTTCTCGGTGATTCCTTCTTATAACCCTCTGGTTGATCAATATACAGTTCACACTCTATGGGGGCATGTAAATATGTCGTCTTTACATCCATCTGGTGAACAAACATGTTCTCTCTTGCGCCACCTTTTGCATTAAAACCCTAATGCTTGTCATGCTAGCAGTTGGTGAAAAGGTTTCATCATAGTTCACACCTTTCTTTTGACTGTACCCTTTGGCAACGTATCTAGCCTTATATTTATCTGATGCACCACCGTTCTTTTTGATTGCATATACCCATTTACCCTCCACTACAGCTTTGCCCTCAGGTAAGTTGGTCAGGGTAAAGGTAACATTCTTCCAAGTGACAAGTTTTAAACAAAGAAAGTGAGAACAGACAAATGAATTCATTCAGACTTTTCAAATATATAATTTACAAACAAAAATAGAATACAAATACAACGCGATACAAATTTATCCCTCCCCCAGTGTCCTTATGTGGTATTAAAACCACTATAATTCAAAGTAACTTGGCTCCACAAGTACAAAAGTTGGCTGGTTAAGATTAAACTCAACACAGATTCATCAAAGAAATAAAAACTTACACACACAAAACTACACCCATAAAAAACCTCCACATCCCAGGAGTTTTTTTTTTAGCCGAGTATGTTTAGACTGGAGGTGTGATTAAATTTTATGGTATAGTTTTATTAGTTGTTTAGTGATGTTGCGTCATCAGCGTACGCGAGGGGTTTCTCCTGCTTTGGGGAACGACGTGACGTGACAGAACCTTCCGGCGTCGTGTCCAGCAGTCTTTTATCTTTTTGTGTTGGTTCGACTTCAGCAGGTTTTTTAAATCCGTAAACTCCACGATTGGTAACAGTTGTCCTCAGAGGGATTAAACACCTCGTTATGGATCAATGTAACGCGGGTATTGAAGATCTACTGCACACTTGGGTCTTGCCAGCAAGTGAACAAACACACACACTGAGTGTGGGCGGATCTTAAAGGTGAGTCACTGCAGCTTTACGCAGGTGAGCACAATCAATTTTAATTAGACGGAGGTGAAGACAGGTGAAACAATTAAAGATAATTATGTGCAACAATTAACATACATCTGACCATGTCAAATAAAGTCCTCCAGTTTCGTTCTGCTGTACCATTTTGATGTGGAGAATATGGTGCTGAGGTCTCGTGTTTGATATCATTTCTGCTTAATAATGCCTGGTACTCTCTTCCTGTAAATTCAGTACCATTGTCTGACCTCATACATTTAATCTTTCCATATGGAGCCATGTCAGCGATAAACATTTCAGTAGCTTGTACTGTGTTGCTCTTCTTTTTCAAAAAGTATACAAAAACTGCACTGCAATAATCATCTGTAAAAGATACTGCATATTCGTAACCATTTTTGGACATTGGGTCTATAGGTCCTGCTAAATCTGTGTGGACCATGGCCAGCTGTACTTTAGCTCTTAAATCTGGCTCCCTGTTCCTGGTTTGAACAAATTTTCCCTCTGTGCAAACTTCACAATATGGCATAGRTTTATCTCTCTAATTTCCATACCATGAACTTTCACCAAACCTCCGGAATTTCCTAATATCGGTGATAATGTGTGACGTTGCACTGGCATCCACCATCAGACCTCTCCTCCTGATGTCATCATTTTGCGTGTTAGCGTCACTCACCCGGAAAACATACTCCTCGTCGCCGCTTGATTCCTCCACCACTTTGCGTGTTGTCGCGCTGCCTTTTCCGCCTGCAGGTTCCTTTGTTGTGTCATTCTTTCAGTAACTACACCACTGTTTTCGCTGGCAGGTTCTGCTTATGTGGCATTTCATCCCACATTAAAAACACACTACCTCAGAACTTCCAGCTCCAGGATCATTTGCACTTCTTGGTGCGCACTTTGTGCCAGAATGCGCCTTAGCTGTCCTCAGATATTTTCAATGTCTTCAAAACTTCCGAGTTTGGTTTTAAACTCTGCAAAAGTCATTTTATCACTGAAAGAAAATACTGTTATGCGTGTTCGTTTACCAGTTTGTGTGCTTGAACCGTACGGAGAATGTACCAATGCATGGAAAAGATTAATAAAGAGAGATCATACAAAAGCCAGAGCGCTCTGCTGAAGACYGGTTTAATGACCAGGTGTTCAGGCCGAAAAACCAGGAAGACGATTGAATTTAACACAGGCTCCAAGACATGGCTCCGCCTATTTGATTACATCATCGATAAGGGGTCCGTACGCTGCTCGGAACCGTGTTTCCAGACAATCATAATGTAGCTTAATGAAGATTTAAAAGTTCAGTTTCAGTACGTGTTGAATTTTTTTTCAGGCATGTATCTATCTAAATTAAATCATCAAGTTAAGCAAAACAGTCACATTTAACAATCTTTACAGTTCTTCTATCATAAGACCATGTGCATGTAATTAAAAATCCGAATATAACCTAAACCGCAATAAATTTCTTCAATTCCCCCTTAGCTTTGAGTGATATATATATATATATATATAT